CCCACCTCATGCCCAGTGCTTAGCATCTGGTGCATGGGCAATTTTGATTTTGGGAGCCCTAACATCGGGTGAGATGGGCCCTGCTCTGATACCATGTTTAATTAGGTCTTAGGCCTAACTCACACCCCAAAAACTAGCTCAAAGGGAGGAGGATTCCCCAAGCCTTATAAGGAGTCCACCCATCTCATTAACCACCGATGTGGGACATTTGTCATTCTTTAACACATAGTACTTTGATCTTGAATCATGTGTCTAGCACTTCAATTTGTTTGCCTGTAATGAAGAATGGAGCTGCGCTCTGGGTTTCGGCAATATAGGTTTATTTTTTTATATGAGAATATAAAATGTAGGTATATTTATTCATAGTTCAGTTGCTGAATATTAATTCTGTTTGTATGCAAATATTTCTCTTTGCCTTAAGAGAAAATTGATGGGTAGCCAAACCTTTGTCGAGTGGTTTTGGTTTGCTACTGAGTTTGATCTGCTGACTTGGTTGAAAATTGTGGTTTAACATACCCAATGAGCATATTGACAAAAAATAGATGTAGGTAAAACTGCTTTTGATTATTACATCTAATATCCATTCTGAAATGCCCAAACAATTTATTGAGTTCTTGTTGCGTAACTTGACAAAAGATTGAGTTCAATTTTGTACTTTTTAGATCATGACAATCAAATTACTAAACCCATCATTGATACTACTTTTAACAAAAAAAATAAAATTGATTGTGTCATTTCCTTGACTCAATACACTTCAACTTTTGTGAGACCTAGGAGTTGAAGAACTTTCAGTTCAATGCGGAGCGTTGGTTTATTTTCTTTCTTAGGACACATTGAGCTGCAAATCATGTCATCAGTTTTTATTTCCCATTGCAACCACGTTCCCCTGACCATGTAGTAATAGCTCTTACCCAATTTGCTTGAAGAACTCTTTCAGGCAGATCAGATATTGCTATTACTTTTAGTGCTCTGGCAATTTTGTGGTTGCTAATGGTTGGGATAGCATTATGTGTTTGCTAAGATCTATTAGTAATTAGGTTGTGTAATCTAGATGCATTTTCGGCATTGCGCTATTGTTGTCAAGCCTGATGAAAATCGCCTTGAAAATTGCTGCATTTTCCAGCAACATCACAGAACATTTGCTAACAGTCTCCGAACCCCCAGACATTTGACTATTAGCTAGAAGGTGATTGCAGACCATTATATTTTGAATTGAATGTAGACAGGGAAATGATATCCTTCTTGTTTATATGCTGCACGGTTATCATCAATCACTGGACAACTTGTTCGTTCAAATTATGTTTTCAGGACCAACAGAGTATTTGTTTCCCAGTTTAGAGGCATTATTTTGCATATATTCCTTTCTATAATTCGTAGCTTGAGGAATATTTCAAGGTTTTGACTTTGTTTGCTCTTTCTCCGCAGATGTTAACATTGAAACGCCACCTTCTATGCATCCAGGCAAAAAGATATGCGACATAACAGGATTCGAGGTACCTTTTCAACTGAGTGCCTTCTATGATTATATGGTCTAAGTGTCTGCTTGCTTTCTGATTCTTTATTGTGCATTCCCACCAATGTCTTTTATGTTTGACATGCAGGCACCATATTTTGACCCAAGAACTAAACTCCGTTATGCTAATACTGAGGTTTTCAAGGCTATAAGGTCTCTCCCTAATGACTATGTTCAGAGGTACTTGGCTCTCAGAAATGCAGCTGTTGTTTTGAGATAGGTGCAGAACGCAGAATAGATAGTTGTAAATTAATGTGGGAAGTAGTGGACGTTTGAAGTTGCCGTTTCTGAATGCTCAGGTGCATAACTGTACTTTGACTTGTACTAAGAGAATAAATCGTAGCCTAGTTTTGTTAGATCTCGTAAAATTGCTATGGGGATTTAGTACTGAATTGGCTCTTTGATCTCTGGAAACTCATCTGCTTATCTAATCTGTGCTTAGCTAATCATGGATTCCGATGAGTTTTCTGCTCTCATCTCTCTAGGGCTGGTAATCTCTCCGTAATTCTCGTTCTTACTGAACTAGGGAGGACTGATAATGCTGAGAAAGATTGTTCTTCCTCAATTGGTTTGTTAACAATGGCCATGGAAGTTTCATTCTTTTACCAATCCTCCTAGCCAACAACTTGCACGCTCAAAAGGACGTGATGGGCCTTCCCTTTTCGTCATTCACCACCTTGTCTTATCTCTGCTCTCCCAAATTTTTAAACACAGTATGGGTTTGATTTGTCTGCTGCTCTTGAAGAGAAGAGAGCTCTCTGACTTCTGATTCGGGCATAACCCTTTCCGTAGCAAAATGAATAGATCGGGTTATTTTCTCTTCCGAGCTTTCCTCTTACACTAGGAAAGCCATGAATAACTAGAGGAACTTATTTCTTCCGCAAGCAGCTCTCCAATAATCTCACAGTGATGGGGAAATGAGGGGAGAAGATTACAAGGTGAGAAACGAACCCTCACCAATACAGTGAAAGTTTAGGTAGTCATATCCACAACTCATTTACATACCATTTTGGACTTTCCATTAGTTGTAGCCCAAAATTGGAGAACAACTCGTTTACATACAGATCATTACAACCTTCAAAAGAATCTAAAAACACAGCAACATACCCAGTGCAATTCCATTCCACAAGAGGTGATGTATACACAACCTTACCTCTATCTTGTGAACGTAGAAACTAGAGAGGCTAGCTATTTCCGATAGACTACTAGGACTAAACCATAAATCTATTTGTCCTAATAATAAACTTCAGATCAGCTATTATCCACTTTGAATCAAATGACTAATATCCATAGGATAACTATCTGAAGGTAGAAAACTATTGTATGCTCTCATAATAGCAATTACATTCCCATTCTCTGTAGGATGAAAATTATCCCAAAACACATGTGCTGCCCTAAGGTGGCATGGAGCTTGTCCAGAAACACATTGTCCTTCAGCCGTTGTTGTCGAAACATTGCAGCATGGATAATTCAAGAAACTAAGAGTACCTGCAAAACAAATATATAGAATTTATAGATTAAAGAGTAGTTCTCTATATAGTCAAACGTCTCTATAACAACATTGTTGGTTCTGAGATTTTCTATACACTTTATAACATTATTTTAAATGGAGAAAAATAAAACTTTAGATTGATGTACGTACTCATAATTGATGAAATGCTATACATGTTTATATAGGTGAATTTTGCTTGTGGGAAGTTGGTATTCAGATCAGTTACAAGAGACTTGAGTTTCTCATTGAATAGTTGAATTGCCTCATTTGTTGAATCCACACACTTTCTTGTATTGTGTTTTTGTAACTCTTGTGGAATGCAACCTATTTGGGGCAATCCAAATAGGGCTATTTTCCTTGCTCCATCTTCATATAAAGTCTAGCATCAAACCAAATATATAGTCGTATTACAACAACAACAATAACATACACAGTGTAATCTCACAAATTGGATCTAAACATGATATAATGTGCACAAACTTTATCCCTACTTGTAGAGATAGTAAATATATAGCCATATAGGCGATGCTAATTAATCATTCAATACATAAGAAATCAAGATTGTGCTATAATTCAAAAGCAAAAGTTCAAAGACATCTGGAAGTATAGTTTGTTTAGTATTTGTCTCTAAACTATGCGAAATGAAGTATGTGAAAGGTCCAAATTTGCCCTTGAACTAGGTAAAAGTGTCCAAATTGTTCTTGAATTATGTGAAAGGTCTCAAACTTATCTTTCATATTAAAAAAATTAATCCTTAATTGTGTGATACATGACAGCACCTGGTGTTAAGCTTTCACCTTTAAAATAAGGGCAAACTTGTTTCATTTCGCATAGTTCGGGGGCAAGCTTGACCTCCAGTAATAACACGAAGACATATTTGACCCCAACAATTAACAAAGGACAAATTTGTTCTATTTTGCATAGTTCAGGGGCAAACTTGACCACGACTATTAATGGTAGATATGTCTATTCCATTTCACATAGTTAAAGGGCAAACTCGACCCCAACTAGTAACAACACGGACACATTTAATCTCAACTATTAACGAAGGATAAATCTATTCCATTAGACATAGTTCAGGAAAAAATGCAACCGTTTACTCTTTTAACTATGTAATAATCTTAAAACAACAACAATATACCTTTTTAACACTATAATAATCATTAAAAACTTTCTAAATTAGTTTGCAAGTTAAGAATGAAAATTGAAGTAGTGAAAGAAGTTAATATTGAACCTTTAGTTGTTGAGCATATTGTTGTACCAATAATGTTGCATATTGACTTGGTGTGTACATACTATTTGTTGAGTAATGTTTGGGCACAAGGTAGTTGTTGATGTAGTCATTGCTGCCTATTCCAACAATGTACAAACATGTGTTCAAGTGTGCATTGGTTGCAACTCTATTTCCCACTAAATCAACCATTCGTAAAATTGTGTTGTGATGGTTTTGAAGTTGCAAATCCAAAAATATTCGATTGCCCTGTAAAATAATTTATCGAACTCTATTTGTTAGACTTGTCTACATTGTTTTTTATCTGACTAAAGTTTATATAAATACAAAAAGATAAAATGTTGGTTGTATAATCATTTTTATCTGAACTTTAGTCTTATCACATGTAAACGAACATCATTCATTAGATAGTAGGTTAAATGTAATTGATTAACTGGAAAAAAAGTTTGATCATATAGGGGACATATTAAAGATTGAAAAGCTATTGAAATCATTAGTTAGATAGTAAACCGAAAAAAATTATGCCATCGAATTTTTATATTGAATTTAATAAATTCATGATATGTGTTTGCATATAAACTTACGAGATGACTTCCCGTCTCGTTACGAATTCCTGCCGAACCAGAGGCATAATTTACACCTTGCAAGATCTCCCTACCAGTTGCGCTTGCAAAAGGTGGAATGTAGTCATCAAACCCTAGCAGTTGACCTGTGCATATTTTTTTTTAAAAAAGATTTAATAACAAATAAGCAATAACGAAATAAGGATTTTCATTTAAGAAATTTAAAATAGAAAGAATTTAACATACGAAAGAAGTCAAGAACAACATTTACTGCATATATAAAGCACACACATACACACAAGGGTGTGTAGGTTTTCGATGAAATAAGGGGATTTAATGAATCCATTCGGGTACCCTAGCTTCGTCCATGCAAATAAGTTAGTAGTCATTTGGTAGGGTGTAGAAAAATAGTATTAAATAAGATATATTCGTATGTTGAGATTAGTTATACTGATAATATTTTTTTATCGATAATTTGGTTGGATGTACTAAATGAATAGGGGAATAGTACTAAATAAGATGTATTAGAATAGGAATAGTACCCTGTATTTTTAATGTCAATTAAGAATGAATTGGTTGTATTAACTAAATATCAAGGGCAACTCAATAATATTAGTGGCTTAAAACCAACTTTGACGAGAGACCTTATATTTTCTGTGTTATATTTTTTAAAATAAAAATTAACATATAAATCTATTATATGTAAAACAAAAATGACACCTCATCCTCTCTTAACTAAAGGCTTTGGGTTAGAGCAACAAAATGACAAAAATCTTGCTAGAAAAAGCTTTTCCTCTTTAATCGACCTTACAAGAATCAAAGTAAAATTAATCGGAATATCAAAAAATAGAAAATGACCAAGAATATCAGCCATATTGCGTCCATTTGTGAATCGTCCAGTAGGTCCATTGGGGAAATCGATGCCATAAGGTGGATAATTAGCCTTTGCTTCTGTATTTAGGTTGTTATTATTCCCATTATCAAGTAATGAATCACCAAAAATGAAATAGCAAGGTACTTTTGATGCACCATGAACTAATGTTATAAAGTTTAGGATTATCAATATTGTAACGTTATTAACACGAGCAATCATTTTAGTATTAGATATTATTTGAGAGAAGAATTAAGATAAAAATGAAAATGATGATTACTTAAAAAATTTCTTTTTGTAGGAGACTGAGGCGTAATTAATGTTGTTCCAATAGTTGCGGGCAGAGACAGGCTACGAAGGACAAAGTAGTTGCAAGAAGGCAAACCCACACAATATATTGTTTGCAATAAATTTGAGATGCCTTATTTTTTTAAAAATAAAAATTGAATATAAGGAAAACAGTAAGGGGATTATATGGTGGATATTGAATTCTTACGATTAAAGTAAAAGTTTAAGTAGTCAACAAACTAAGGAAGTGTTTGACTCATTTTTTGGGTACTTTCTAAGGTTATTGTGTCTTTACTAAACACTTTTAAAAATTTAAAAGTATTTAAAATCTAAAAGCACCTAAAGATAAGTCAATTCTTTTTTATATTTAAAAAAAAAATCAATCCAAACACTCTCTAAACGACTAAGATCATCATCCTTTGGATGTCCTCTTTTTTCCTTTTTTTTTTAGAAAAATAATATTTAATGTCTTGATCCTCTAGTGAATATCCAAAAATTTATGGATAATTTGAAATGTGTTTTCAAGGAATATGCACCCCGACGTGGATTAGGATTCAGAATAAATATAGTAGCTTCCATGAAATCCTAACTGACATTTCACTTGTCTTGTAAAGATCAAACTTAAATCAGATATAATTCACAAGCTCTTTGTGATTTCTTTTTAAAATTATGGCATTTTTTTCTACACTATGAGACTCTTATTTAAAGTTGTAGGATAAAAGAACTTTGATAATGATAAACTCGTTTTGACCAATCAAATTAAAATGGCATGAACATATTTGATTAGTTGAAACATCTCACTCGTATATGTTTCACATTTTCATTGACGTTTTGATTTAACTATGCATGTCACCTATATTAATTATAATAATAAATTATTTTTCATAATAATAAGAAGAAAGTTACATTAATCTGGGCTTCAAAGTTGGACCAAAGAAAAATTGGGCTTCAAGTAGCAACAAATTACAAAGCCCATCCAACTAATATTGGGCTTTTCATCAATCCATACCATAAAATCTTAAACCCTAGCAGCTCCCTATATATATATATATATTCTCCTCTTCTCTTATAATTTACAGAGCAATAATTTTAAGCTTCAATACTTTCATTTTATTTTCTTGTGTGTTAATTTTATTTTAAATCTGTGCATAATTAAGCCGATGCTCTGGATAATTAGAATGAAGGTAGCATGGTTATATGCACAGAAATTGAATTAATAGAGTCGACATGTCTGCTACCTCTGATTTCTCTATGATTTGGTGGCCTGGTTTAGACTCACATTCATCTTCTTCTTCTTTTTTTAATTTATATATACAGTATAATTTTTCAACGAACATCGTTAAAATAGATATGATCTGTGCACAATTAAGCCGATGCTCTGGATAATTGGAATGAAGGAAGCATGGTTATGTGTACAGAAATTGAATTAATTGAGTCGACATGTCTGCTACCTCTGATTTCTTCCTGATTTGGTGGCCTGGTTTAGACTCACATCCATAATTAGTCTAAAAAATTGTCCTAATTATGTTATTGGATGAATATTCTTAGATCTAATTATTAATTTAAAAGTATTTTTGACACTTTTCCATTTAATCACAAGATGAATATCCAATTAGGGTCGTTCATGATTAGATTTGGATTGATTATTGGTTAAAATCAAAATTAAATTAACTTTAATCAGTTTTTAAAATTTTCAAACTAAATCAAATCAAATGAAAAAAATATGCAGTTAGACTTCCATTATTAACTTATCCTAAGTGTGACTATATGACCTGAGGTACCAAAGTTATTATTACAGAAAGTGTGACAACACAATGCGATTCTTTTTTGGTTTCTTACTTGGTGTCTGCCATTTCACGTTGAGGATAGAACGCTACAAAGTCTACTATGTACCTAAGGAGTCTCGAATCCGAGACATTTTGATTAAGGATTAAGAATCATTGCTGGTGACAAAATAATGTGATTCAATTAAAAGAAAGTGTGAATATGATGTGGGGTACCAAAGTTATTATTGTAGAAAGTGTGTCTATATGATGTGAAGTAGTCTAGATAAAGACTAAATAATGAATTTTGATAAATATTGACTTGTGATTTTAATAGTTAGATTAAAATTTAAGTTTTGAGAAAACGATAAATTTAAAAGACTTTAAGTTGATTAAAATTTAAAATTAAATGGTGGATAGTCTAGTCAGGGGTGTATTTAGAGGGGGTGTCGTGGGTTTACGTGAACCCATGTTCTCCTCTTTAGATCATATATAATAGTGTTATATTTTTTTAAAATATTTAAATATAAATATGTGAACTCACGTTTAAAGTATTATATAATAATACAATAATGATTGAGTGCATCTCTCTAAGTAAGGATAAAAATTTAAGTCTTATATCTATCTTGTCCTTTTGAGTAACACTTCCCCAAGTGATTATCGATTATACTTTTGACGTTTCAACTAATTTTTCTTTTGTTTTTTTCCTTTAATCTTTCAAAATTTTCAAGTGCCTTACATTGGAAGTTCCTAAAAAACTTTGCACTATAAGATTTTTATATAATTAAATCAAATGTGTATATTAAAATTTAAAGTAATAGTATTATATATTTTGGACCTATAATTTTAAATTTAATGGTTAATATTAAGAACCTAAAAGTCAAATTTATCAAATTTATATTTAAGATACATTTTTTCGTATTTGTGCACCCATCTTGACGAATTCTTGGATACGCCTCTGAGTCTAGTGTCATTTATTATTTTATTTATGAATAATATATAAATAATGATAAAATGTAAAATTAAACCTAACCAAACCAATATTGGTTTTTTTTTAGTTGGTTTAATTCGAATTGCAATTCGATTTGATTTTTTAACCATGAATACCCCTAAATAAGAGACATGTGTGTTATTTAAAATTTAAAGGTCAAAATCATATTATATTGTCAAGTAACATAATCATAATTAAATCAATTAATTTTGAAAAACTATTCTCTAAATTTGATTTTAAAAAAAATATTCTGTACATATTTTGATATTCATTAATATTATTAATTTCATCTTATATTTTTATATTTAAATATATTAAATGAGAGAGAGTTTGGTGCCACATTATTTTTTCGTTGCGTACATCAAACACAATTTAAATCTAAAAATACATGATGAACATATTGAAAATGAAGAACTTACTATTGGATTTATTAATAAATAAAACAAGCATGATTTAAAAGGGTAGGGCATCAATTTAACCATGCATCACTAAACATAATACAAGAGAAAAAGAAAATTAATCTAAAAACTCTTTGTTTTTTCAAACTTCAAATTCTTTATTTCAAGTTATAAAACACGATCAAAATACACATCATTCATATGTCCTCCCCACATAGTCCTCCTAACGTTCGAATCAAACATCTTTGGATTATCTCTTAATTCATCAGCTGCTTCATGATTAAGTGGATCTTCATAATTAGGTTCAGTAAACAAATGAACCAAACCATAAATAACAGCATTAATATTCAAAATAGGTTTCCAATCTTCTCTAAGAATATTAAGACAAACATTACCTTCTAAATCAATATTTGGATGATAAACTTTGACTTTACACTTAACTTTTGGTGCATCATGTGGATAAAGAAATGGAATTTGAAATGTAAATGGAAATATACCATCATGATAATAACCTTCATCAGGTTTAATTGTAACTTCAAAATTCATAAGATCATCTTTTCCATTTGGAAATTCAATTTTACAAATTGGTGGTAAAGTTAATTCACTAATATCTCTATGAACACGTAATTTTGAGGCTGATTGTTCTTTAATTGGTGTTTTTGATCCTGCATTTTCAGCTGCTTCTTTTTGCTTTTCTTTTACTTTGAACAAATTAATCATGGTTAAATAATAATGTTATGTTATTCGCGATGTTAATTACAAGTTTAATTAATAAAATAAGTTGAGGAGATCCGCATTATTTATCGGTGTTGTGGATGGAGTTGTGAATGTGACCGAGTCATTAGAGGAATTAATGGAATTTGCATTTTGTGGAAATTAATATTTAGCCATGTATTAAAGCTACACGAATTTTCAAGTGGATGAAATAGGTCGAGTGGTCTCAGTTGGGGATGGGATTGCACGTGCTTATGAATTGAACGAGATTCAAGCTGGGGTAATGGTTGAATTTGCCAGCTACTACTAATTACAATTATTTTTTTTGTCATATCCTCAACTAACCCTCCATAAATAATTATACTTTGTTCTTTAATCATGTATTTTTTTTGTAGTTATAAAACATAAATGTTACTATGATCTATTAGGTTGTTTTGAGTTGAGGGACTCATTTTGTGTAAATGGGACTCTATTCATTTGGTATTTTATGACTTGTGAAGGTAGTTATATCAGTGTATGTAAAGAGTGAATTTTGAGTCTGACTTAACCTTAAAAGCTAACTCAAGAGACCATCCAATATCTCTTTTTATTCGATGTAGGATAACTCAACAGTGTCACAAATCCTGAGGGACTCAAGTGCCTTTCGAAACGCTAGAACTAAAACTTGAAGTTTCAAAGATTAAGAGTTGACCAAGGTAAAAAATATGACTAAATGAGTTTAGATTCGTGATTTAAAACTTGTATGTATGTTTGGATTGCAACCCAAGTGGTTTGGATCCATCATGTTCCGATGGTTCTTCGTGATTGCGAGGAGCCTCATTAGGACAAAGTATAGTATAACCTGACATCATTAAAAACACTTCAAATTGGAACCAAGTCATTTTAAAAAGAAAAGTTGAAACAGATTGATGGAGTTGAACTAGTTGATGAAGGAATATATCAATGTTTAATTGGATGCTTCGTGTATCTCACAATAAAACTTTATATCAATGTTTAATTGGATGCTTCGTGTATCTCACAATAAGACTTTACATGTTATTTTTTTATGAGCGTTTTATTTAGATATTTAAATTGAGCTAGTGATCAGTTGCATATGATGGTTGTTAAGAGAGTGATTAGGTATCGTAAAGGAACTCTACGGTATCAAATTGAACAAAAGTGCTAAAACTCACTTAAGGATTAATTGAGGCTACAATATTAAGATAGTTGATAACAAAATCAGCTAAATATTTTATTTTTAGGGATTTTCTTTGTTTTATGTTTCTTAGGAGTTTATTTTTTAAAATTAAGATAGTAGGGTTTTTACAACTGTAATTTTTCAGTCATTTAACAAGTTCTTAGTTGTATTGTTTTTTGCTTCATTTGTATTTATTTGGAGCTAAAATTTAATAAAAATTAAATTTTGAGTCTATCATTTTTTTTTTGAATTTCTAAAAATAACATTCAAACGTCTATAAGAACATATATCTTGTATACAAAATATAGTAGGACGCTAAATAATTACATCCAACTATAGTGTAGAACCTCTAGCCATGTCCAAATGGAACTAATTTTCTTCATCCATTACTTTTTTTTTTTTTTTATGACAAGGAAAATTTGCAGTCGCTATCCTTTAGGTGCGCACAGGGTAAAATCCCCGCTCCTATGCAATAGTTCTCGAATCACATAGGAGAGGTAACCCGCACTAGGCAAACCCGATGTGACGAGCTCGATCCAGAAGGCAAACCCCTTGCTTTTGTTGCCAAGGGATTTCAAACTTGAGACCTCCAACATGCAAAAATGCATTTTTTTTTATATCTAACTAACAAAGAGACCATTATTTAACAGTTACAAATGATAGCACAATAAGAATTTATTGTGGCTTTAATAATTGAATTAAAAGTATCCTCTAAATTCACTCCTTCAATTTGTTGTATCCTTTTACCACTAATCGAGCTTTAAATCTATCTTCACTACTCTACCACCATTGGGCATTCGAGTAAGAATCGATTGATATATAGAAACCAAAAAAAAAGAAAGTACGTACTCCTATTTAAAGCTAAGTTGAAAAAAAGTCAATACAAACAAAAAAAACTCCTTATCAAATTATATTTCAAATTATAAAACGCAAACATAAATACACATTCCAAACTATAGAAACTAAACTTTAGTACTTGAAATATCGATAAAAATATTATTTAAAAACACATTATATTATAGGATACGATCATAAGTCAAGCCATGCACAGTTTCTCCCCACATAGCACTCCTAACGTTGGATTCAAACGATATGGGATTATCTCTTAATTCATCAGCTGCTTCAGGATTAAGTGGATCTTCATGATTGGGTTCAGTAAACAAATGAACCAAACCATAAATAACAGCATTAATATTCAAAACAGGTTTCCAATCTTCTCTAAGAATATTAAGACAAACATTTCCATCATAATCAATATTTGGATGATAAACTTTGATTTTGCACTTAACTTTTGGTGCATCGTGTGGATAAAGTATTGGAATTTCAAATGTAAATGGAAATTCACCATCATGATAATAACCTTCATCAGGTTTAATTGCAACTTCAAAATTCATAAGATCATCTTTTCCATTTGGAAATTCAATTTTACAAATTGGTGGTAAAGTTAATTCACTAATATCTCTATGAACACGTAATTTTGACGCTGTTTGTTCTTTAATTGCTGTTTTTGATCCTGCATTTTCAGCAGCTTCTTTTTGTTTTTCTCTAACTTTGATTAAATTAATCATGATTAAGTAGTTTTGTTTAAGATGTTAATTACGTATGAGTTTAATTATATACGATAAGTTGTTTGAGGAAATTCGCAATATTTATCGGGTTATATTTTTTTATTTTTTTTTGGAGTTGTGGATGAAGTTGTGAATGTGACCGGGTCATTAGTGGAATTAGTGGATAAAAACATTTAAGTATTATTTTCTTGTTGTAATAAATACATTTCTAATGATTATTTATAATTATTTCATAATGAAAATGTTATAACCCAATTTTCGAATTTTAGTATGTGTTTCAAAGTGAAATTTAAAGGAAAAATTACTCGAATATATATCTTTTAATAAATAATTACTGATTTTAGCGATAATTTTTATTTATTACCATTTATAAAAATATATAGCAATACTATAATAAATCTATAATATGTATTAAAAGTGAATTATGTATGCAATATACATGTATTATAACGCTACCAATCGTTATTTCGTGGCTCTGGCTCTATTCCTGGTATTCAATATTTGTAATGACGCTCGATTAAATTCGATATTGTGCCTGAAAATTTCATATAGAGGTAAAATGCTTCTTAACAAAAACGATTATATAATCGACGCTCGAACCAAAACAAAAAAATACTTACCAGTACTCCACTATAATCGTAAATTAATGTTTCGGTTAGTCCAATGAAGATTTTTGTCTTTTTTTCTCCAACATAAAACAACAAAAACTTAATTATCCTTTTATCTTGTTCTTGTTTTTCTCAATTCACTTTATATTCTCAGCATATTACCTATTTTACTAAGAAGAAAAATCCCCTCTCCAATGCTTCTTCCTTTCTAGATATAAAAATCTAATTATGGATTAAGAAACTAACACATTCTTATAATTAGAACTTCTTCATTATCTTGAGATTTAGAATTTGCTTTTCTCATAATAAACTATGGAAAATTCTCATAGCTATGGAAGAAAAATTGGGATACTAAGCTTATTTTTGGGCATTTTCTTAGTGATGTCTGGTGTTAGTGCTGAAAGTATATATATAATTTCAATATCCCTTTCTTGCTTATTCATTTTGTGTTTAAGAAAGAAATAATACATAAACGTGCCTTTTACTTTGATCTCAGCTGACATTTTTGTCCTTCAACTTTGATCAGTATGTACAAGTAGACACTTTAATTTATATAAAGTTTGACAAGTAGACACATGCATCTTACGTTCGTGTGAGATACACTCGAACTGATTTGTAAAACATCATGCAAGATGTATGTATCTACTTGTTGATCTTTATATAAATTTAAGTGTCTCCTAGTGCACACCCAAAATTGAAGGATATAGATATGGGCTAAAACCAAATTAAAGAGCATGTTATATATTATGCATGAGAAAATATTACTATAAGTTTTAACATGTCTTGTTTCATTCATCAGATAGGAAACACCCCACAGGAAATGTGAATTTGGCACCATTTGAGCAGTGGAGAAGTGCCTATTTCTGCTTGCTAAATGTAAGTTAGCTTCATCTCTCCTTTAGATTCAGTGATGTACGCAGAATTTTATTAAAATAATATTGACTTATTATCATAATTAGACTTGCAATGAGTTTGGGTCTACATTTTAATTTAACTTGCTATTTTATACTCAATTTTTTTCATATTGTATGCAGACATCTCCAATTTGTTCAAAAAATCATACACTCACAATGTCTGGATGGCTAAATGTAACAAATGAAGAAGGCAAACAATTTTGTGTAAAAGGAGGCTGTGGAGATTATACTAAAGGAGTACTCGATTGCATTCATCATGTCAAACGCCATTTTTGGTTCGCGAACAAGGCCACTATTAAACATATCTACGATACCATCGATATTGGTTGCAACACCTCACAAGGTCTTTCTTTTTTTATTTAACATACGCTGATAATATATAGTGTAGTGTATCCATTCATAAATTACACATGAAGATTTTTAAACATCTCTTTTTATAATTTTTATTCTAATAAAATATATTAAATTTGTTTTTGTACTTGATATTTCTACTAATTCCCTTCATGCACATTGCAGGTTTTAGTGGAACAAGTTTTTACCCCCACTAGGGCTCAAATCAGAATCAACTTATCCTCTCTTTATATTACACATATATAGCAATCAAATAGAATAAAAGAAGCAACAAGTATTATGTATTATAGACATCAAAATTATGTACTTTATTTGTTTCCTTTGGAGACAGTTTAGACTGATTTCTCATGTGTGAAGGAGTCAGTCACCATTTCTTTTGTATGCATAGTAATCTAATAATATTTCTCTCTTCCTACAAAAGAATTTTCTAATATTTGTCAACCTATAATCCTTTAATATCATTTTATTAGGTGATTAAAGTTTATGAGAAAGAAGAAAATACTTGCATTGAGTATATCATTGGAATATGCCTCAAGGCAACTATGATTTTATGACTTGCACAAAAATAACCTGGGTCAACTAATCATCCAAGTCCCTACGGGAACATCCGATAAAAAAAACAATTATCCCAAGGTTCAAAATTACTTTTGTTGAGCGACTTCTTAAATATTTTTTTTAAAAAAAAGACAAAATAACTAAATGATCTTTGATATAATAAAATAGAGTCGAAAGATCATATGTTTACTCCCATAACATACTTCTTAGAAACCTTCCACAAACACTAGCTTTAGTCACTAAGGCTTTGATCAAATGAACAAATCACCAAACATTTTGTGTGCTAGTTTCTCTACTAAAACCCCTAATGAACAAATACCGTTAAATGTCCTATCAATAAAGAATTTCGTGTCTCGCACAATCTCAACTTCACTGTACTAGGCATAAAGCAAAATTTCTCAACCTATTCACCAATTAACCTGAGTAAACGTTTTTAGCTGCACTTCAAGACAGGCAGACACTCGCAATATTATCAAACAAGAGGAGAGGAGAGGATCTAAGCACATCTTGCCCCTATACCTTATCCCTATCTTTGTGCAATAGAAAAGTTGATTTCAGTAGACCCTCAATACAATGGCGCATGACCAAAAGGTATATAACACTCATAACATATTCTCATAATAATAAAATTGCTTGTTATCTCCATTTCCATTTTCAACAATGGTACCAGATGAGAATTCAGGTTGATAATTGTGAATCAACCCTAAAATTCAAAGATCTCACCATATTTGTCAGACAAATTAGGGGAAAGGCGCATGTCAAACTGGCAAACAAAGTAGAATTACGTACATTGCAGTTTCTCCCTTACTAGTCATCAAATAGATATTCACAAATTGAAAACACCGTTCCCTTGACAACCCACATGAAGGGAGATTAAGAAGTAACCAAGTTCTTTTCACGGAATTTATTCATTCACCCCAAGCACAATAAGACATTGCTGTTACAAAAGTCCCAGACATGCCTGGAGACAATTTTGTGCATCATCCCATTGCGTATTTCTGAGTCCAGCTACGAGCAGTGGTTTCGTATTTGGCCCTGTCAGTCTTGTACATGTGAGCAATTTCAGGTACAAGAGGATCATCTGGGTTTGGGTCTGTCAACAGAGAGCAGATGGACAGCAGGACCTGCAAGCATATTGTTGGTTACACCTTCACCCAAAGGTAACTCAAAAGGGGAAAAAGAGATACGTTGCACAAAATTTGAGCGGTAGAAAAACTTTTTTAAGATTTGAATATTTCTGAAGGGAGAACTCTTTGCACAAAAGGAAGGGTCAAGAACAAAAGGGAAAGCTTTGGAAGGAGTAATTAAAAATTGCAGTTGCAAGAAAAAAGACGGTTAACCTCACTTCACTTGAAATGGAACATTTCAAAACTTCACTTGTCTAGAAAATAAGTCAGCTGCATCAAAAATACGAGAGTAGGGAGACCTATGCTGGTTAACTTAATTTTCAATAGCAGAATCATCCTTGAGAACTTACAAGTATCAATATGGACTTTGGATTTTTGTAAAGAGCAATTCAAGACCCAAAAAACAGTGTTAAATCGGGGCAATGAAAAGAAAGGTTAAGCTCCAAACCTTGGATATGGTTAATGCTGGACTCCACTGCTCCTTAAGAATATCCAGACAAATACTTCCATTGCTATTGATGTTGGGATGGAAAACCTTAGTTCTGAAGGCAACCTGAAACAGCAAAAAAATCATTTGTAAAATCACCACCTCAGATTATTACAATGAAGAGAACTTCATTTAGACAATTCATAAAAGTGCTCAAAAAAGACAAGTAGACAACACACTTAATATCCAGATACAGGTTAACTTGTTCTAACAGCAAACTGATGCTAGCTCCTTAGTTGTTAATAAAATTAAAGAGATAAGTAAATAACGAGAACTGAAGGTCAGACCTACACAAACAAAAGCTGTACTGCTTCTGCAAGAAATGTTTTAAAAAACTCATATTTGAGATGGTTTTACTAAGGCTCCAACATATGAGCAAATGCAAGCAAAATGATCACTCTCCTCCTCAATAGAAAAAACTAAGTAGTGAACACATAAGTGAAGATCAGGGATATTCTGGAGTTGAAGTATACCTTTGGAGGCTTAAAAGGATAATCTGGAGGGAAATGAATTGAAACCAAAAATACACCTCCAGCATAAGGGCTATCTGTAGGCCCCATGATTGTTGCTTGCCAATGGAACATATCCTCTGCCACTGGACCTGTATGAAGCCAAATATGCTAGTGAATATGAGCATAAAGGTTTCTACCAGGTGGTCACTGAAAATAGAAAAGTGAACATCTGGAGTGCATTCCCTTATACATAATAACATTCCACAAAGGTCGCAATCAATGACAGCATAGCCACCATGACCTCCTTTCCATCTTAATAATTTTTGTTATTCACAGATGAAAGAGGAGCAGAACAAGACAAAATCCATACTGGAGGAAGCATCAAAACAACATCATCTTTAACGCCTATCCAATCCATAGAGAATAATACAACCCCTAGGAGGCCAGTTATGAATTGTAATGTCAATCAAGCTGAGAATGAAGGAAAAGTGAAGCACAAGAAAGAATGACACACAACTTGAGGTACCATTCTTCACATATTAATTGCCATCAATGACATCTTGTATTCTCATGGCAAAGAGCGCGACAAAAAGAGTTGCTAGAGACTAGAGTGACCAAATAGTGCAAAATGATGTGTATTCAACTGGAATGCACAAATCAGAATGGAACAACGAATAACATAAATGATGTTATTTCACGGACATCTTTACCATGCCATACTGCTTATTAAATCAAAGAGCAGATAGCTTCACTACCAACTAAGGTAATTATTTACTATATTTGACATATCTGCTAAAAGTTACTCCGAGCCATTATCTGCAAAGAGAAGATGGAAGATCCATTTTTTATATGGTAGAGTCCAACCCAAACACCCTAAAACAAGGACACTATCATCAATACATGAGTAGGGACCTATAGTTCCGTTGGCTAAGAAAACATAACTCCAGAAAGCCAATAAATTGAACAATGGAATAAATAGTTCAGCTAAATTACCAGCACTGCATGATGTGGGAGGATCCTTCTGCAGATCCTTGAGCTCCTTCAATATCCTCTTCGACGCCATCAATTAGCCCCCGTACCTTCAGGTCGTGACACAAAATTGTACACGTAAAAAGAATATTAAAAGATTGCACATATAGTAAAATTTAGTAGCTCAGAATCAACTCACTAAATCATGGAATTAGCTATCAAAAACTGTTTAAAAAATTGAACAAAAAAAAATAAAGATGCAAGATTTGCCTAATTCAAGTGGATAGATATATACAATACTTCCCTTCAGCTCATAACACAATTTTGTATATGTAAATATTAATATTATAAAATTGCACAAACAATTAACTTTACTAGCTCTTAATCCACTGACTCTACATCCCGAATTAGCCACTAAGACGTATCCAAAAACTAATAAATTGTTAATAGCAAAAAACAACATAGATTTGCTTCAATTTCTTAAATAAAATCATACATGCTAGTGGAAATCCATATACAAATTCTGCCTTCAGCTCATGACACAAAATTGTACATGTAAAACTAATGTTTAAAAAATTGCACATATAGTAAAACTTAGTAGCTCAGAATCAATTCACTCTAAATCCTGGAATTAGATATCCAAAACTGTTTAAAAAATTCAAAAAAACAAAAGAAAAGAAGAAGCTAGATCTGCCTAATTCAAGTGGATAGATATATACAAATACTTCCTTCAGCTCATCAAACAATTTTGTATATGTAAAATTAGTATTAAAAATTGCACATACAATTAACTTTACTAGCTCTTAATCCACCGACCGAAAATCCCGAATTTGCAGCTAAAACTAATTAATTGCTAATAGCCAAAAATCCTAGATCTGCTTTCATTCCATAAATAAAACCATACATTCAAGTGGACATCCATATACAAATTCTGCCTTCAGCTCATAACACAATACTGTATATGTAAAACTACTACTAAAAATTGCACATATAGTAAAATTTAGTAGCTCAGAATCAACTCACTCTAAATCCTGGAATTAGATATCCAAAACTGTTTAAAAAATTCAAAAAAGCAAAAGAAAAGAAGAAGCTAGAGAAATACTTCCTTCAGCTCATCACACAATTTTGTATATGTAAACATTAATACAAAAAAACTGCACATACAATTAACTTAACTAGCTCCTAATCCACCGACTCTAAATCCCGAATTAGCAACTAAGACGTTATCCAAAAACTAATTAATTGCTAATAACCAAAAAAAAACCTAGATCTGCTTCATTCCTCAAATAAACCATACATTCGAGTTGATATCCATATACAAATTCTTCCTACAGCTCATCACATAATACTGTACATATAAAACTAATAGTTAAAAAATTGCACATACAGTAATAAATTTAGTAGCTCAGAATCAACTCACTCAAAATCATGGAATTAGCTATCCAAAACTGTCTAAAAAAAAACTAGATCTGTGAATTTTGAAGTACCTGAAAGTGATGAAACTGGTGAGAGAGGTGGATTTGCTTGAGTTGAAATTGAAGGAGACGGAGATTGCAGAGGTGGAAAAGGATATTTTTGAGCCAATAGCAGAGTAGTTTGGAAGAAATGGAAGAAGAGAATTATAAAATGGGAAATTGGAGTGTTATAAAGGAAGTATTCAGTAGGGTCCAGTTTCTAGAATCCTCGTGTACAAGTCATAATTTTGGCGTATGATCAACGCTAACGCCACCTTTTTATACGTTGCTCTATTTTTTTTTCTTCCTATCCATAGGGTTTCGGCCTTTCGGGACGTTAGCGTTAGCGGGTAATTATGATCTTGAATAAATAGATATATTTGTTTTATATGACAATTTTATGTTCTACATGGCGTTCTACATGTATTATGTCATGTAGGATACGTGTGCCTACTTGTTTAATTTTATACAAGTTAAAGTGTTTACTTGTGCACACTCAAAGTTGAAGTGCATAGTTATTCGTTGAAACCAAATTAAGGGTTATGTTTATGTACTATGTCTTCTAATTTAGCCAACTTTTGTTTATATAAATCTTGTGTAAGCAATTAAGTTTTGTCATTATTCAATCTAATTGCGGCCTAACTAAGTTCATGTGATTCTAAAGTTAGGAGGATTTTTTAATAGTGTGATAGTATACTCAAAATGTTGTAAATTGTTTGATTTATCACCATTACAAATAAGATGTTTGATATTGAGTTAAATCTGATATATCTTTTCTTTCACATATCATTACTTAATTTAATCATGTGTTTAATCCAATTTTTAAACTCATAACAATATTATGCTATAAAGTACCAATATCACCTATGAATAAAAAAATTCGTACGTGGGAAATGTTTCACCAATTATTGTCTTTAAAATCATGGAAGACAATGAACTAGTCCTTAATATCTAAAAATGATGTTTAATCTAAAATTTGTAAATTTAAATTTTTGAAAACTAAGATCACTAGTACGTCTGATTAAGTGAGATAATTTTCAACTACCTAATTAATCCTCTATTCTAACTATTATCCCCATAATTTTTTAATCTAAAATCATATATTTGATAAGCATTCAAGCAATTGCATCACATAATAAACCTGATTCATTAGTTGACTGTGTCACACAATAAATCTGGTTGTTGACTGATTAGTGCTTAATTGATGATGAGCTAACATAGTTTGTTAGGATTCAATTAGAAGATATTTGTAAATTGAGCACGAGGCTTATTTTAAATGTAACACGCAAAATAATGATCAATACAATTTTTTTCTCTTTTTTCTAAGCTCAAGTTTATAAATGGAGTTATGGATTTTGTGAGCTCATAATTTCTTAGTAAGCTATAAAGTTATATCATATCTTATCTAATCATCTCTCTTCAATATTTTTTCTTCTACTTTCTTACTAATTATTTATTTTCCCTTAAAAAGGGACAAAAATGGAATCTTTATTCTCCAACCACAAGGAAGAAAAAATAAAAATGCAGAGACCCTATTCTCTTTCGGTGGAAAATGGAATCTTGTAGGACCCTATTTCCAAGTTATATTATGGAGAAAAAGGTGGAGTCGGCTAATGGACATTGGGTAGACTTTTATAGTCAATTATTTATAAATTATAAATGTTATTTTAATTTATAATTTTTTTGCCAGGGAAATTTAGTTCAAAAAAATATAATAGTTAAAATTAAAAAGATTTATAACATTATGATATATTATTCAAATTATAAGAGAGTATGTGATATCATTTTCTCAAACAAAAGCATTTTAATTACATGGACGTTTATTTACCTTCCTAATTTTATTTTACTTGAATTTAATATCATCCAAAAGAATGTCGTGGCAAAAAGAAAGAAACGAAAAAAATCAAAACGCGTAAAAAAATAATAATTTTAAAAATAGTCCTACTAGTATATATAGGACTAGTATCATTTTTTAGAGTAAAACTATAAAAACTTTGACTAGCATTTTACTATGCATTTTTACATCATATTGATATGCAAAAAATTACAATTTATAGTACTTTTCGTATAATTTTTGAATATCTATTTTTTTGTTTAAATATCAAATTAATGCAATATAATTTGACGAGAGGGAGTTGCTCGGATGGTAAGCACCCCTCACTTCCAACCCGAAGGTTGCGAGTTCGAGTCACCAAGGTAGTAAAAGGGGTGGGAGCTCCGAGGGAGGGTTAAAAAAAAATGCAATCTAATTTAACTTTCGAAAAACACAACATGACAAATAAAAGTGGACGGAAGGAGTATAATGAAAATAAAATTATTTTTAAAAGAACCCAACCACAATCACCCGTCCTTCTTCGGCAGATTTAACACTAAAGCAGAAGACTAATAGAACAAACGGTAAGGAAGTTGATCTTCCCATATACAAACTTTTTAACTCCAAATTGCTTTAGGTAGTATTCTTCTTTAAGGAAAGAAGACTTCAAGAGTCGTATTTAACCAAGGGAAAGCATATAGCCGCTGCAATTGAGATCTCTAGCAATAGAACATTCGACAGTAAATGCCGCAGTGTAAAGGGCTCAACAAATGGTGTCGGGTGGTAACCACCACCCTCACCATGAGAGTAACTTAAAGCTTGAGAAATCATGTGAAATTGTGAATTTGAGTGTTGCACATAAATTAGCCATATAACACTTCATGAAACAAATCATCTTTACTGAAAAGCTAGAAACAGCCACCAAATATTCAAAAATAGTTCAGAACTACAAAAGAAACCATACAGGGCTTACATAGTAGATGTCATAATAAGTATTTGCTTAGCCTTTAAGAATAATCACTTGTAGAATTCAAAGTCAGTGTCAGGCTTCTTCACGTTCGTCCTGTAACCCTTTTCAAAGTCCTTTGGAAGGATGACATATCGATTCTTGCGCACTGCATGCATACCAGCTTCTTGACAGATAGCCGTAATCTGCAGATATGTCAATTCATGTTCATTTCAAATAAGGTAAGGCCTCAGCATAATAATTAGTGTTGCAGAAGTGAAGAAAAAACAGTTGCAGCCAAAACAAAGAACGATTATTGGAACTAGAACCCTGATTTCCACAGTTTTATCAACCAAAAAAAATATAGAGATAAGAAACGAACCTCAGCAGCACTGATTTTATCAGGGCGAGAAACATAATCTTCCAAGTCAACCTCATCACCTAAGTTCATCTTAGCCGTGCATACCTGCCAATAAAACAATTCAGCGTTAATTTTGTTACATTGTATAAAACAAAACACAGCAAGGCTCTCAGAGAAGCAGAAAGACATTCAAGAATCCATCAAACTGAACTTTTTCCTACAATATTTTCCTCCATTACTTTTTTAGGAGAGGAGAATAAAGAAGAACACATCATGAGTATAAAGATTATAGAAAATCCACCTGAAAAACAAGCCTTTTTTGACGTCTATCAGGCAACGGAAATTCAATCTTACGATCAAGCCTTCCAGGACGTAAAAGTGCAGGGTCCAGTGTGTCGGCTCTATTGGTTGCCATAATAACTTTCACATTCACTGTTTGGTCAAACCCATCCATCTACAGAATACAAACCGAGGAAAATGTGGCTCATCAAACAATGCCGGGTCTTGCGTTATTCTGGAACTGCTTTATAACATGAATAGAAGCCTACCTGATTTAGTAGCTCCATGAGGATACGCTGGACCTCTCTATCAGCTCCAGTCTGAGCATCAAACCTAGCAGTAGCAATTGCATCAACCTCATCAATAAAAATGATTGCTGGAGCATTTTCTTTGGCAAGGCGGAAGACATCACGAACCATTCGTGGACCCTGCAAAAATCAGTGAATAAATGAGAAGATAAAATCTAGACTAAATAGAATCAGATGATGTCTCATCACTCTTCATGGACACAGTATGATATGATAGTCACGCTCCAAACAGAAGAGAAATGTGTCTCAAAGGGAATAAAGTAGTGGCTGATCTGAAGTTGCAATAAAGACTTGGGGTGACATAATTGATCTGAAATTGCATAAAGACTTGGGGGCGAACATGATTGAAACCAGACTGCTCGTCCACATAACTGAACTTATCCTACTATATTTTTTTTATTTTTTTTTATAACCGAGAAATCAAGATCTGTCTCTCCAGCCAATTCTACATGAAAGATCATATACAAGATATTCTCCTAGTCAACATGATTGAGACAGGGGAAGCCCGTGTCTCTATCCTTCCTTTTTGTTTGAAAAGGGAAGTAGAAGTCCACACATTTTAATCAATCTATGGAAGAATATCCAGGGCATTCTGTGTTACTACTTTATAGTGAGAAGATCTTGACAGGTCTTGTATTTTGACGAAAAATGTAATCAAAGAAACGAAAAGGTATTGAGCCATTCACTATTGAGATAGGCCTTGACTTGAAGTCCTCCAGAACTACATTAGATATGCATGTTAGCTCATAAATCGGAGAAGGAAGGTGAATTGATTATTGGCATGAAAGACACTAATAGCAGTGTTACAACATCAAAAGAAATTTAGAATGTACGTTTTTATAAAGAAAGCATTTTTATAAACTCTGTGAAAACTTTACTTTGGGAGAAAAGGGGTCAGCTACTTTGCTAGAATACAAAAATAAAATAAAAATACAAAATACTCTCATTATCAAATACTACAAGAATTTATAAACTACTTGTGACTGTTAGGCATCTGATTTGAAAGTAAGACATTAAGTTGTTTCAAGAAAGCGTCTTTACCTGCAAGCCATCAGAACTTTGACTATATTTTGGATTCAAGAATAAGTAATTTACTGCATAAAAAACTGTTTACCATAGCTTCAAAAACTTCCCGCCAGCTTAGCTATTGAACAAATTTAAAAGAAACCTGTAACTCTTGACTTTTTCAAACATGCTTCTGAAGCCGCTATATCATCATAAATCGATTATTTACCACCATAACTCCTTAAGTGCTTAACTATAATACAGTCCCTATTCATCAGGGAGAGCAGTAAGATTTAAGAAATGCATCACCAAGCAAACCTCTATATTGTGACTTTCATGCTAGACCACTTATTATAAAGGACTTGCTGAGCTTAGGATGGTAAAAGCAAACATGTCAATAGTGAAGGTCTGCTAAACATCTACTTTTGACTTGTCCTTAACTTGGTTGCATATTGGATAGGT